AATGAGTAATGTGTCGATGTTTTCATACGTTTTTTTTAAGTTACAATGATGTTTAACACAATTTTAATTTCAGATTTCTTTTGTTATACTAAAACAAAGTGAGTAAAAGGCATCATTTTTTTATTTGCTTTAAGTGTTAGATGATCTAGGGCCGGCCCTGCTTTTTGGTTTTGAATGAACCACGTTATTAATCTCAAAGCATCTTCATATTGTCTAAACATCGTCAGTTTTTATGTAAATTTCTTTTTGTTTGGGTTTTAAATATAGATTTACTATAAAAATTACAGTTTTTGTTTTCCACAAGCTAAGTCATTGTATTTTGTATCGACAGGAGGAAGAGATCCGTTATCAAAAAGGAACCATATGAAGACAGAAGTGTAGGCGGTGCAGATCATATCGAGGCATGTTTTCGTGATGTGTTTTGTTGTCTCTGTAATCAGGTACACAAATCTTTTCTTTCTTTTTTTCAATTTAGACAAGGTTTGATTTCAAAAACGAAAAAAAATTAAACAAGGTTTTTCTTTGTTAAAATTCGGCTAGCACAAGTTAATATGCATACGTGCGATTGGTTTTTCTACCTATTTTGACTATAAAAATTGCATCTTCATTCACCATAAAAATATGTTGTTAATTTGCCGAATTAATTAAAGAAACTTAAGTGTTAAACTGCATAACTGTTTAATAATTTGAGCATGGTGTCCTGTCCATATTTATATTCGGATCATTAGAGATGCCATGTTCATTTTTAATATCACATGGAAATGTAAATTTAACACTCACGTTTAATCATGCGATAAATTTTTTTACGTTTTTCTCAATTAAGTATAGCTTTAAAATGTCTAATCATTTAAAAAGACTTAAATACTTGCATAATTATGAAAATAAACGAACATGAAATAAAAGTATTTTGTTAATTTGCCAAATTAATTAAAGAAACTTTAAGTGTTAAATTGTATAACTGTGTAACAATTTGAACATGGTGTCCTATCCATTGGAATTTGGATCGTTAGAGATATCATTTTCATAGTTAATATCACACGGAAATGTAAATTTAACACTCACAATAAAACTTTTACAATTTTCTCAATCAAGTATAGCTTTAAATTTTCTAATCATTTAAAAAAAACTTAAATACTTGCATGATTATGAAAATAAACGAACATACAATTGTTGCATTGTTTAAAGTGCCATAAGTTTGATTTGCCTTCATACCGTGAATCACTTATGTAAAAGTTAAGCACTCGAGTTTTTTATTAGTTTGGCGATAAAAGTTTTTTACTCCCACTTCTCAAGATTGTGTAGTTAAATAACCTTGAGTACAAACTGCATAATTGTAGAAACAGAACAGACGAACATGTACTGTCTTCAGACCGCTAGAAATGTCCATAATTTGATTTGTCTTTACATAATTAATCACTCAAAATTTTAATTAATTTCTGATCATACATTAGATTGCCAAGATTAGCATTGTAATTTCTGATTATATTTCGCATATGTAAATTTAGCCCTAAGAAGATCTTCAATATTACTTGCGATAAATCGTTAGGCTTTCGACACATTTTTTTACTTTGTAAACTTGAAACATTATAAGGTTAAACGATTTAATCAAAAATTCGAATAAACACAAAATCAAGGCATACAATGTTAGAGTGAGGCAATTATTAGACATCATATCAACATATCAATCCTAAACTTTTCTTTTAAATATTTGGTGCAAAGGATTATGCCAAATGATTGATCGCCTTTAGGTAGGGTGAGTAGATGCTCGTGAACCACACTACACTACTCTTTTTGTATAGGATTATTTAAAAAGAATTAGAGAACACCCTTTGTATTCTTATAAAAATGGCATAATTAAGACTGATTCATTTAAATGAAAAGGTCTTCTACTATTTTCCGCAAAATATATAATGAGAAAAATACAAATCTACAATGATAACTTGTGAGTTTCTACAACAACAACGAAATGTTGACGACGATGCATTTTCTTTATTTGGGAATTTTGGGGAATCTTGCAAAATTTTTAAAAATAAATCAATTAATTAAATTTATGAAAGTATTAAAAAAAAATGTTTGTCGAAATCAAATATTAATTTTTATAAATATATTAAATTTTATAAAATAATAATTTTATATTAAATTATTTCTAAACCCAACTTATTTCATCAAAAAAAATTATATTACACTGGATTTGGT